TATACAACGATTAACTCAAAATGAATCCTAGAGAAAGCTCTGGAAACAGATTGTGGTGATGGTTATACAACACTGTTAATGTACCTAATGCCACTGAATTGTACACTTTAAAAGGGTTAAAATAATAAATTTTATGTTGGCATATTTTACCACAATAGAAAAAAATTTAATGGATCATAGACCTGAATGTAAAAGCTAAAACTATAAAACTTCTAGGATAAAACATAGGAGAAAATCTACATGACCTTGGGTTAGGCAGAAAGTTTAGATATGACACCAAAAACATGATCCATAAAAGAAAAAAATGGTAATTTTGATCAATTTTGAAAATTTTTCAATTATGAATTTTTAGGGGCACCTGGGTGGCTCAGATGGTTAAGCATCTGCCTTAAGCTCAGGTCATGGTCTCTGGGTCCTGGGATCGAGCCCCACATCCAGCTCCCTACCCAGCAGGAAGCTTGCTTCTCCCTCTCCTGCTCACCCTGCTTGTGCACTCTCTCTCTCTGTCAAATAAATAAATAAATAATAAGATCTTAAAAAAAAAAAAAAGAATAAGAAGCTAAACCATAGACTGGGAGAAAATATTTGCAAACCACATTTCTGACAAAGGACTTCTGCCCAGAATATATCAAGAACTCTCAAAGTAAGAAAGTAAACCACCCAGCTTAAAATAGGCAAAAAATCTGAACAATAAGAATGATATATGAATGGCCAAAAAGCATATGAAAGGATGTTCAACATCACTGGTCATTAGGGAAATGCAGATTAAAACCACCAGGAGAGGGCGACTGGGTGGCTCAGTTGGTTAAGCAACTGCCTTCGGCTCAGGTCATGATCCTGGAGTCCCGGGATCAAGTCCCACATGGGGCTCCCTGCTCAGCGGGGAGTCTGCTTCTCCCTCTGACCCTCCCCCCCTCTCATGCACTCTCTCTCAAATAAATAAATAAATAAATAAATAAATCTTTAAAAAAAAAAAAAAACCACCAGGAGATACCACTACACAATTAGCATGGCAAAACAAAAACAGAACTGGCAATATCAAGGGTTGGCAAGAATGTGGAACTGATGCTACCATATATTTCTAGGGGGAATTCAAATTAGTGCAGCTCTTTGCACTTTGGGTAACAACATGGCGGTTTCTCACAAGGTGAAACATACACCTGCCACATACATGAGCGATCCCACTCCTAGTATTTACTCAAGAGAATCTCTGTTCACACAAAAACCTGTATGTGATTGTTTATAGCTGCTTTATTCAAAATCACCAAGAAAGGGAACATATGAAGATTTAGCAGGTAAATGGATAATGTGTACATGCTACAATGGAATATTATTCTGAAATACAAAGGAACAAACTACTGCTTCATGCAATAACATAGATAAATCTTAAATGCATTTTACTAAGTGAAAGAAGCCAGACCCCTCCAAAAAACTACATATTGTATGATTTCATTAATATGACTCTGGAGAACGTGAACCTATAAGGATGGAAATGGAACAGTGATTGCCAGGGGTTGGGCTGGGAAGGGGTTAATCATAAAGGGGCAGCATGAGAGAAATTTTCAGGTGATAGAACTGTTTTGAGTGGAACCATGGTAGTAAATACATGACTCTCTGCATTTGTCAAAACCTACAGAACTGTGCTGTACAAAGTGAATGTTGCTGTATATAAATTAAATAAAATCAACCAGGATATGGGGTGGGGGAGGTGAAATACAGGCTGTGACCAGTGAACCCATGTTACAAATGAATCAAATAGGGCTCCTGGGTGGCTCATTCGTTAAGCGTCTGCTTTCGGCTCAGGTCATGATCCCAGGGTCCTGGGATCGAGTCCCGCATCAGACTTCTTGCTCAGTGGGGAGCCTGCTTCTCCCTCTCCCACTCCCCCTGCTTGTGTTCCCTTTCTTGCTGTCTCTCTCTCTGTCAAATAAATAAATAAAATCTTAAACAAAAAAAAATACAAATGAATCAAATAATCACATTGAAGGGGCTAGGAAGAAAAAGGGTGGACCTAGATAATTTGGGGGGGAATATTTTAACCGGATACATAAGGATAAACACACACACACACACACACACACAAACTATATAATAACACTGTATTCTAGTTGGTAAATTTGTTTCCCCTGTTATGGTTTAGCAATTCTGAAACTATGTGTATCCTAGAGATGAGCAAATAAGTAAATATATTGTAGAAAATGAGAGCCAGGTTTTTTGAGGAGAAAGAAATGACAAATATGAAAAGGGAGAAGACATGAATGTCTCCTGTGGTGCTGGATTGGAATCAGAGGTATTGGTGTGTTCATGGCTTTTGTTTAATATATATACAGATAGATGGGTATGGAAATAAATACAGATGTCTGTTATGTGTGAGTTAGTGTATGTACCTACCTACCTACATACATACATAATACATATATACATACAGATGTGTATTTCCTAGCTCTGTCCACTGGGAAGGACTAGAAGCAGTGCCAACCCAACAGTGATGAGCATGCCAGCACCCAGACCTAGGGTTTCACTCTCCTTGGAAAAGTGCTCGATGCCTGTGGTGCCAGAAAGGAAGGAGGGGATCAAACAAATAAAAATAAAAGGTGGGGTGCATGTCAAAAGGGCACAGGAGCCAACCTGAATGAGCTCCCACAGCCAAAGCTGGAACTTGAACAGCAAAATAATGATAGTGCTGTATCCATGATCAACACTATCCATGATAAGCATCCATGATCCCTGTTAACATAAACAACTGAATAAACAAATAAATAGAGGAGAGGGACCACTCTCTCCCACAAGAGAATTCCAATTAACAAACATAGAAGGATTGTGGGAAACAGAAAATCACCATTAAAACATGACGGTAGTAAAGGTTGAGTCAAGACCTCAGTAAGATCAATGGATGCTAAAATTTTGGGGCAAAATAAAGTATTGGGCTAAAAGTTTAAGCAGAAACAGTAACTGTTTTAGCCCAAAGTATTGGGCTAAAAGTTAAACAGAAAACAGTAACTTTACAGTAGATAAACCTGGCAGATACCACCTTGACCAAGACATCAACATAATACATATTGACATCATGTGTCCCTGATAAGCACTGAAAAGGGCACATCAGCTCTGGCACCTTTCCCAGTAATCATGACAAAACATCGGACACACCCACATTGAGGGACATTCCACAAAATATCTGACCAGTGCTCTTTAAAATTGTCAAGGTCATAAAAGACGAACACTGGAGAAAGCTCATATTTTGGGAGAGACTGAGAGAGACATGGTAACACAATGTGGATCCTGGATTGGATCCCAGAACAAAGAGTGGGCATTAGTGAAAGAATGGGTAAAATACAAATACGATCTGTAGTGGAGTGAATAGCATTGTACCAATGTTAATTTCTTACTTTTTGACAATTTTGCTATGCAAGATGTAAATACAAGGGGAAGCTGAGTGAAGAGTGTATGGGAACTCTATTATTTTTGTAACTCTACTACAGTCTAAAATATTTCAAAATTAAAATTTTAATTTAAAAAAGGATACCCCTGGGGCATTTGGATGGCTCAGTTGGTTAAGCGTCTGCCTTCAACTCAGGTCATGATCCCAGGGTCCTGAGATGAAGCCCTTCACCCCAGCTGCTCCCTCCTCCTCTGCCCCTCCCCCCACTCGTGCTCTCTCTCTCTCAAATAAATAAAATTTTTATTTTTTTATTTTTTTAAAGATTTTATTTATTTATTTAACAGAGAGACAGTGAGAGAGGGAACACAAGCAGGGGGAGTGGGAGAGGGAGAAGGAGGCTTCCTGCCGAGCAGGGAGCCTGATGCAGAGCCTGATGCTGGGCTCGATCCCAGGACTCTGAGATCATGACCTGAGCCGAAGGCAGACACTTAACAACTGAGCCACCCAGGCGCCCCTAAATAAAATCTTTAAAAAATAAAAAGGATACCCCTCAGTAATAAACTTTTAAAATAACATATAAAAAGAAGTTGCAAATACATTTTATGATGTTAAAAAGATATAACATTTTAAAATTATGGTTCTTGAACATTTTTATTTCTCCAGAATAGATTCTTTCCCCCAAATAAATAAATAATTGCTCTCCATCATCATAAAGAGAAGTTCTGATTAAATCATGCTCCTGTTCAAAAATCTTCAGTGGCTTCCTATTGACTTTTCATTGCATTGAATCTATTCCTAAAATTACTCTGGTCCCTGTTGCCTCCCTTTTCCCTACTATTCCCTGCACCCTATATTCCCCCAAACCCACCTGGGGCTCTGTAGCCTTCCTTTATTCTACATTCCTGGAAATGCCTTTTGTCAGGACGATACTTGTCCAGAGCCCACGAACGCTCCTCAGCATGAAGAAACCTCACCTTCCCTTGGACTCCCAGAGAATCTCCCTCATGACCCTTATCAATTTCCAGTAACTGCCTGGTGCCTCTGCCCAGTGGCTATTTAGGGTGCTCTCCTCCAAATTTTCTAATTCTCCCTTTGTGCCTGAGACCACATGGTGCTGTCCAGAGCACCTAGAGTTTAGACCAGGACCAACATACTCTCCAGTCCCCTTTTTTTCTCCTTTAAGGACACTTTCTTATCCTCTGCACCAGCATGGAGTATATCAGATGCCCAAAGGATCTCCAGGACTCATGCTTACCAAATCATCCTAGGGGACAAGCACAGCCCCGGTCTGCTTGGTGTTTCCTTCAAGGAACCACAGGAGATTGGACCAGTAGAATGGTGTTGCCATGCTGATTTAGGGTGACCCAAATTCATTTTATGAATGGGAGCTCTGCCAAAAATATTTGCCCACAACCCTCACACCCTAGAGGGTGTATCTTGTATGATACATGCCCTGAAAGGTCCATGCCATACTCATGTCTGCATCCCCTCCCCACAGTGGTTGACTATCTCAGTGCCTTATACATAATAGATGCTCCATAAATATTTTACAGAACAAATGCCTGAAGGAATGAGTGACATCTCAGATTTCTAACTATGGTTTCCTTCCACAAATTCCTAGATCGTCATCATTCTTCTGAGTGGCAAAGAGGGATTTCCACGTCCCGAAGCCCTCCAGTCACTGACCTGACCGTTGATGTGCTGCAGGTTTATCAAGAAGGAACAAACACGCCTCCCGATTCTCTTGAAAGTAAACTGCAAGTGAACTTCAACTCCAAGACATGTGAAAACAGCCCAGCGTGTGAATGATGGTTGAGTGGTTTCAGGTTAGGCAGCCCGGTAATTTGGATTGAACATGCTTTGGCTGCAACAAACTGTAGTGATAGAACATATGTTTGTCGGGCTTTGCTTTTGATCTTCTGCTCCAAGGTTGAGGATGCCTTCCCAAGGGGGAAAGAAAAAAGGAAAGAGAACTGGGTAGAAGAAAATGGACCTCACCCATCACTGAAATATTTTGTACCTGAAGCACAACCACCTTGAGAGAAGAACATGGTGGCCGCTCTTCACAGTCACCTGACTAATGGGCTTGGGTTTGCTCCTGCCTCAGAGGGAAATACAACACCACCAAGAGGACCCCCCACAGCACCTGCACACTCACAGCCAAGCCTGGGCTCGGCCCCCACGGACATATGAGAAAAGAGGACCTGCCAGAGCCACCAAGAGGGGGGGAGGCTGGCTGTTGCCAGGTCCACCCACGTGGATCACAATGACTGCATGAGGTCATGGAATGTTGAAGAGGTGAAATGATAGTGGGTCCTAAGTCACAAAGTCGCAGGCGGGTGGGCATCCTTTTGACAGGGCTCCCAGGAATCGAGCTGTACCACTTTCCCTGATGATCCGGGGAAGGAGCTACTTCTCCCAGACAGAGTTGGAGTCCAATCCATGCCTATCCTCTTCCCGCCAAAGCCCCCTCTCCCCAGGGCTTTCTGGGATGAAAGAATAACTCCAGGTCCCCCGCCCCGGGATTTATCTGTGTGAGGGCAGGGTGCACAAACTTTGAGACAGAAGGGAATGGACAGGTGTGCTTCTTAGGGGAGCAGCAGAAAGGTGGCAAGAAGCTGGCAGCAGCCCCCGAGAGAGCCCTGACACCATGGACAATGATGAGCCTCTTAAGCCTGAGACAAAAGGTGAACAGGCATCCCATCTCTCACCTCTGGGGCCCTTCTGGGCTGCCTCAGTATAATGCCCTGAAACCCCTTCCCCTCCTCACGTGGGACCCTCTAGAACTGGGACAGTGTGTCACAGTGACTTGGCTTCAGGGCTTCCCAAACAGGGAGTGAGAGAGTTGGATGCGAGATGCGATGCTGTGCTGGAACTGGCTTGGACTAGCTCTGGCTGACTTTAATTTTCATTTTGTGGGTGGCCTATGTCATGTTGGTAGTTTGAAATCAGCCATGTTGGGAATATTTACGCCACCTGAATTGGCTAACACTCCAAATCAGGATTTTTTTTTTTTCCTAGAGAGACAGTTAAACATTTAACAGCATTCTATGGAATTCTGAAATTGTAGGACTAATGAGGATATTAAGGCTCAGAAAGTCATCACTTTTTGATGGCTGAGTTCAATGGCTAAGCCACTGTATGTCTTCTAACTGCTGGGGTACTGCTCCTTCCACCTCTTATCACGCAGACCTTGTCTTATCCTCTTGGAAATAAACACTGGAGCTTGGGTTTATGGATAAGGACTAAGAAAACACAGACCTGCGTGGACTCATTAGGAACCCCACTATCTTAGAACCTGGGTGGTTAAAACTTGGGACCACCGCCACAAATGCTCAGCCCACCCAAAGAGTAGATTGGCCAAGTTCTGATGGGCTACCCGGTGGTTGAGCATGGCTTCCCCAAACATTGCATCCCACAGAGGTGGGATGACTAGCTCTGGACCCTTGTGTGAGGTTTTCAGGAACCCATGCTGGTTCCAGATCAGTGGTCCAATGGCAGAAAACCCATGTCCAGCGAGTATAGGGACTGGTGGGAGAGAAGCGTAGGGCGTGGATATTTAATCATAGCAATTAATTTCAACCCCAGCAAGATTTTGCAAGCCCTTCCTTCTTCATGGTCCCAAAATGTTGGATTGGAAAGGAGAGAAGCTAGGTCAAATTCTTAGGAATCAAGTTATCCTTCTTTCTCCTTGGCACTGTTCCTGTTCCACTTCATTTCACATTTGACCCAAGTCGCCTGCCCTGCCCTGCCCTGCCCTGGGCCATCCGCAGCATGGCTTATGCCCGCCAGTGAGGAAGCCTAGGCATCGGCACACATCCTCTCCCTGAAAGAGTGAAGCAGACCCTGAACCCCACCCAAGCCAATGAGCAGGAAAAGAGTGAGCCAAAAGAGCAGGAAAAAGCCAGTCTCTGAGATAAGCTCAAAGCAGGGAACAGGGCAGGAGCAGGGAGTCTCCAGAGGACACAGGGGGCGTTTAGCACAAGACCCTACACACGATCAGGAGGCGGCACTGTCCTGGAGGGAGGGCTTGTAGAATGGAGTCCCCCTGGGGAACTGAACACACACTGCAGTTCCTCGGCACCCCGAGCCCCATGAGGCTGGGGCGTCCCAGGCTGTGGCTGGGACCGCCTTGCAGAGCCAGGGCGTATAGGTCGGGCTCCATGTGAAGGGCCAGCAGGTTTCATTTCCAGCATCAAGGAGATGAGTTTTTCTTCCAGATGAACCCGAAACCGAACCAGCGCCACAGAACAGTGATGAAACCCTCTACTGTGAGGCCGAGGCCTCCGGGGCTGTGGAAAAAGAGAAGGCAGCCTGGGAGAGCTCAGAAACCGACCTGGAGATCGAAGGTGAGGCTGGGCCCTTAGTGGGCGGGGTGGTGGTGCACCTCCTTCCTCAGAAGCTGGACAGCTCCACTCCCCTGGGGCGGCCGTGGCTCTGGCCCCTGGGCCGTCCGTCCTGCAGGAGAGTGGCTGCAGCCTGGGGCGGCTTTATGCCACGTCCTCCTCAAGGCTGGCCCGGTGGTGGCAGCTGCCCCAGCCCTGTGCTCGTGGCCTACCTGGTGAGCAGAGTGGTCACATCAGCTTGTTGAAGCTAAACCAACACATGAACGGGGATTTCTGGTTTTCTCAACATTTCCACATGTCATCTTTGCAAGTGTCCCGGGAGGTAGTCATCATCACCCGCCTTTTAGAGAGGAGGAAGCTGAGGCTTACGGGGATTGTGAGTTGCCCAAGGCCACGGAGAGCTGCCAATGTTCGCCGATCCCCTGTTCACCCCACCCTGCCGATCTGCTCTGTACTGTGGGGGCCCCCGGAGTGTCTGTGGCCCATCTTGCATCCTGGTGACTTCCCTCTCTACTCACATTCGAGTTCTTGGTTCTCCTACTTGAGAGTTCGCCCTGGACAAAGCAAGTGTGCCCTGGGAGGTGGGAGGGCGGGGGAGGAGGGGCTGGCTGAGCTGCAGCAAAGACTCTGTTACTGCAAACAAGGCTTCACCCTCTTCTCCCTCTCTGTTTCCCCGAGGAGGGAGGTGCCCAGAACCCCTGTGAAGTAAGGTGAGCACAAGGCTCGCCCCGCCTGATGGGCCAGCCTAGGTCAGTCAGTGCATAAACCTCCCCACCTGTGGTCAACACACAACCTCGCCTCCACGCATGCCTCCTTCCTGCCCGCCCACCCCGCATCTTGTTGCTCTTTTTCTGACTTCTTTTCCACGCCAAGACTGCTAATGTACTAATGTTTTCAGCACGGAGTTTTACCTGGTTGGAGGGGGTAGCAGATGGAAACTGGATGTTTTCTCCCAGATTCCTGCTTCCATCCCATTCCTCCCCCACCCCCCAACTCCCCACAAAAGATAACACTGTTGCAAGCTGCCTCTAAAATATAACCAGAGTGGGGCGCCTGGGTCGCAGTCAGTTAAGCGTCTGCCAGGATCCTGGGATGGAGCCCCGCATCGGGCTCCCTGCTCAGCGGGGAGCCTGCTTCTCCCTCTGCCTCTGCCACTCCCCTAGCTCGTGCCCTCTCTCTCTCTCTCCCAAATAAATAAATAAATAAACAAACAAATAAATAAATAAAATCCTTTTTAAAAACAAACTAAAATACCACCATAGTGACTACAGCTAGAAAGGGTCCGCAGAACAAAACAGAGCAGAATTAGTGCCAAGGATAAAGGTGGGGGTTACTGACCCTGCCTTGGCGAACAAGACTCTCTAATGGCACCTATGCCATGCTGGGACAGAAACCCAGGGCCCAGCTGCTCCAGCTTCTCGGGCCCCAGCCGCTGGTACTGAGGTGCTGGGAGTGGGGCAGAGACGGCTTCCCGGGCAGGCCTGAGACCTGAGCCCAGGTGCAATAGCAAGCTGCAATGAAGCTACAGAGGAGGCAGAGAAGACAGGACAAGCTGCTCCCCTGCCACATGCTGTCCGTCCTATGCGGCGGTGGTTCTCACTCGGAGATGATTTTGCACCCCAGGGGACATTGGGCAACCTGGGCTGGCGTGGGGTGGAGGATGCTGCTGGCATCTCACTGGCAGAGGCCAGGAATCCTGCTAAATATCCTTCACGGCACAAGACAGCTCCTCGCAACCGAGAATTATCCAACTCAAAATGCCAGTAATGCCAGGATTGAGAGACTCTGCTCTACCACCATCCTAAGGAGAAGGCCAATTAGTAGCTGTGCCTGCAAAGTCAACTTCCTTGTAAAGTTGTCCTTTCACCGACAAAGCTCTCACTGTCTGCCTCAGAAATGTCCGGGCTGGGTTGGCCAAAGGCCCTGGCATCCGAACGAAAAACAGATGCAGGCTTTAGACCTCAGCTGGCCATGGGAAGCCATGGAAGGGACTCACTTAATGAGGAGACAGCTGTGAGGCCATAGGGAACCCAGGGACGCCCACTGCCCGTTGACCACGAGCCAGGCAGGTCTAAAGCCCGAGGAACAAACGCCCCAAGAGGTCGGAATGGAGAGATTAAAGTCCCCTATTCTGTTAGCTAGTTTTAGCGCTGATCAGCTGTGTGTGATTTGGGGCTAGATTTGTCATTGGTAAAGGAGGCATGACCGTCCTTTTTGTGAGGAAAATGACACGAAAGTCTTTGAAAGAGGAAAGCCCACTCAAATACAAGTTTCTTTGTTTCATGCTGATTTGGGGGGGGGGTCTCCATCTTGCATTGATTGGCCACCTTGAGAAGCCCACTCAGTCCTACTTGGGTACTTTAAAGTTGGAACCTCTCTAAATCTTTAGTAAAGCTTCCCTGTGGCTCTCATTTTAACAGTGGCCATGAAACTAAAACTAAATGGAGGCTCCCCTCAACTATCACAAATGAGTTTCTTGTCTGTTTGGCCTTTCGGAGCTGCCCCATGGTGGGCAAGAGAGCAGGGCCTTTATGCATCCTTGATAATTAATCCTGGATGTGGGCAACCCAGGCAGGTGGGCGTGGGCACACTGCTCCTTCTCCTAGGAAAGCTTGGGGCCTAAAACCAGGGGCCTTGTCTCTTACCCAAAGGGAGACGTCCATCTGGGGCTTTCTGAAATTTGGGTCTCCCTCTCCCACCTCCGGCTGCCTTCCTGATTGGAGTCGCCCTCCAGTGCACACACCCACAGGGACATCCTCAGGCAGAGGGGACCCCAGGCAGAAGCGCACCTGGCCTGGGGTTAGAGGGGAAATAAGGCAAAGGGAGAAGAGAAACCCCACTTCATCCATTTGCATCTTTTTGTGTAGATACGGAGAAATTTTTCACCACTGGACAAAGGGAGCTATACCTGGAGGCCTGCAAACTGATGGGCGTAGTGCCTGTCTCCTACTTTCTTCGGAATATGGAGGAGTCCTACGTGAACCTCAACCACCATGGGCTGGGCCCCAACGGTACCAAGGCTGTTGCTACAGCCCTGGTGGTGAGCATGCCAATGGGAGCACGTGAAGACAGAGGTGGGGGTTGATGGAGTGGTGGGCCTGAGACTCAGAGCCTCCATGGGACCCTAAATTTCAAGCTTTGTGCCCACCCTGCCCTAGGCTCTGCTTGACTACCAGTTGATTTACCTAACAGGCAGGGATGCCCCATTAGCCCCTGGGAAGGGGGCTGCTAGGGACCTTGGCCTTGGAAGCCTATGCTCTTTCTGATTCAGGAAGCAAAGGCAACAGCCCTGGGTAAGTGGCTGCGCTGGGCACTAATGTAAGTGCATAATACAAAACGTCAGCCTGGGTCTCAATTCCAAAGCCCACCTTCGCTATAAATAGGTTCACTACTGAGCTATTCCATTCAATGTTTGCCTTTTGCAATGTTATAATTCTTACAAGATCACACTGTAGAGTAGGTCATGTTTTCCCATAGGAATAATTCTCTCTCTCTCTCTCTCTCTCTCTCTCTCTCTCTCTCTCGGCTTGGCATGAGCAACCAAGGACTTGACCTTGAATTCATCATGGCTTTATATAATTATAATTGATTGTATACAAACCAACTTCCATCCCAGAAAAACAGAACATGTGACAACTGTAGGTCAGCACAACACTGTTCATTTAGGATGGTAAAGGGAAAGTTTGATTTTTAAAAAAAAGTACTCACTTATTTTGGGAAATCGCACAGCATTTGCATTTAGCACATGCCCATTAAGAGGCTACATGAAATGTGAGATTGTGCTGCTTTCTGGCGGGGAGGGAAGAGGGGAAGAGCAGAGAAGGAACAAAGCCATCTTGAAATTTATTGAGTGTTGAAAGACTGATTAATGAGGTGTTAGGAATGCACCATTACCTCATGAGTTTCATGAAAAAAACAACAACTGGATAATAATGCAATTCTCTCAGGACTTGGGCCACGTGTCTCTTAGTAACAACAGTTTCTGTTTGGGGGGAGTTTTCTCTTCTCTGATTCTCTGTGTCACCAATTTGACAATTAATCACTGTGACATGTCAGCAGACTGAACTGTTATTTATCTTTTGTACTGTTCAACTTTGCACATGTTGTGTTTCCCTGGCTTAGCTTAAAAGCACCCTGATAGTTGTGGTCATTTTTCATGCGTCTCATCCCTCCCTCACCTGCCCGCCTCTGCGCCCTTGCACTTGGTGGGGTGCTCGGGTCTTCTCTGCTCATTCTTGTTTCCCCAGCAGTGGGCACAAAGGGTAACCAGTGGCTACTGGCCTGTGTGAGATGAATGTGGATAGGCCTGGGGGGAGGGGTTGCCCACTGCCCCCCACACCGTGCTGGTCACCAGGGTGACTCCGGAACTGGCCATCCGACCCCCCGATCCTGGACGTTGTTAAATGACACCTGGCCACCTGAGCCAGGACCGTGGCCGTTGAGCACGATGGACTTTTGCCCGCCCCAGAGAGCTGAGACCAGAAGGCCCCGAGCGGACCATTTCGCATCGCAGTAGCTGAGCTTACATTTGCCCTTTGCCTGGAGCTAGAGCTCCTTACCGCTGGCTACCTCTCTCGCTGCTTGGCACACTTTGAAAATGCTCAAGTCCAGCCATGTATCTGTTCTTTCCGTACCGGGACCCCCAAGGTGTGGAAGGGTTGAATAGCAAACAGTGCTGCTTAGAGCAGACCCCTGGCCGTCTTGCTGCAAGTCACTTCCTCTGACCTTGCTGCTTGTGGGCATGCCAACTAGCTTGGATGTAGATATTTAAGACTGAAGCCCGGGTCCTTCCAAGCAGCCTTGGGGCCATGTCCTGACTAAAGAAACTTACCAGATAAGCCAGAGCCTAAACTAGAAGCAAGACCTCTGGAGAAAGCCAGCGCCAGTAGATGTTTTATGTTTAAATACGCTGATTAAATGCAGCAAGTTCTCCTTAATCTTAGAGTAGGTCACAGCTTCTCTCCTCCAGGCTAAATAGCTACGGTCTGTTTAGATCATCCCTGTTCCTCGCAGTTTTCAGGGACTTCATCATTTTATTTATTTTTTATTTTTTTAAAGATTTTATTTATTTGACAGAGAGAGACACAGCGAGAGAGGGAACACAAGCAGGGGGAGTGGGAGAGGGAGACGCAGGCTTCCCGCTGAGCAGGGATCCCGATGTGGGGCTCAATCCCAGGACCCTGGGATCATGACCTGAGCTGAAGGCACACAGCCAATGACTGAGCCAACCAGGTGCCCTGACTTCATTGTTTTAATGTCCTCATTCTAAATTCCCCTGCAGAGCCCCCTTTGGTGGAGGTGCCCAGAATAAGCATATTGTCCCAGCACACCTCAGCAGGATGGCTTGTCCCTGGGCTTTCTCCTGCTCCTCTCCATTCTCCAGAAGTGCCAGCCTGCATCCCCGTACCCTCCAAAAAGGCTGGGATGTTAAGGAAGAGGACAGGCTCTGGGCAAGGGTGGGGAACTGGCCGGATCACAGACTCCCTCTGTCTTTCTCCCCCTCCCCTGGTGGCGGCCGAAGTCCAACACAAGTGTCGTCACGCTGGAGCTGGCAGACAACTGTCTCATGGAGGAGGGCCTCCTGAGCCTGGTGGAGATGCTTCAGGAGAATTACTACCTGCAGGAGATGGTACTGTGCCCTGCTCTGCCGGCTCCCTCCCCCGCACCAAGACTCTCAGAACCCACCTGGGACGGGCCAGAGGGCCCCACCCCGGCCCCGGCCAGCCTCCAGCCTTCTGCGAGTGGCCTGGAGGCTCTTCTCCTCCAGAGGTGACTTCTCAGAGGAGGGCCGTGCGGGTCGGAGGCTGGCCAGGGGGCTGTGTTCCCTGTGGCCCAAGGAAACCCTGAGAAACCAATTCTGTCTGGACCTTATAAGCCCTTCCACAGAATCGCTTTAAAGTGAACTTAGAGAAAATAAAGGCATGACATGCTTTCATCAGACACAATGTGTCTGGAGACAGATGACGGTGAGGGTTGCATAAGTATGTGAATATACTTCAGACCCCTGAATGGTACCCTTAGGAAGAGTTACGGCAGTAAATGTTGTGTTATGTCTAGTTTACCATAATTTAAAAATGGGGGGAAAAAAGAGAAGAGAAACAATTAAGATAATAAGGGCTGGTTTATATAAAGGTCCCTCCTGCTAACCCAAAAGGACTATGTCCATTTGTATCCTTACGTGTTCCTGGCAGAGTCCATGCTTCACGAATCAATGAATGGAATTTACAACAATGAGTTACTCTAAATGAATCTTTCAGTTGCTTTATGCCAAACTCTCCAAATAAAGCTGCCTTAGGTTTAAAAAAATAATAATAAGAGTACAGTGTGCTTATCTAAAGTACTAGGGCTAAACCAGAGAAGTGGGGAGTCACCAAAACCAACTTCAGAGAAAACGGAGACCAGTGAGAGGGCCTCACAGCTGGGCGTTAGGAAAGCTGAATTCCCATTGTCCTCTGCTCCTTTGCTCTTCCCAATGCTTCCTACCCTTTCACCCCTGCCCCTCTCCCCTCCCAGCCCTACTCCCTGGTGCCAGCCTCCTGTAAGCCCCACCCCGACACCGTTTGTTAATGAGGGCCCTTGGCTGGGATTTTCACACACATAAGCGTGTTCTTGCCTTTTAGAATATTTCCGACAATGATCTTGGCTTGAAGGGGGCCAGAATAATCTCAGAATTCCTTCAGAGAAATACCTCTTCACTCTGGAACCTCCAGCTTTCAGGTGAGCCCATGGAAGAGGCAGGAGAGGACAAGGGGCTGAAAAGGAGGGAAGGGGAAGAGCAGAGAGAATCCAAGCTCTAACTGAGCCAGACCAGGCACCCTCTGCGATCCAAGATCAGAACACTGCATCCGCACCCTGCTAAGCCCTCTGGCCATCCTTTCCCCCTCCCCATGGCCACACTGGCTTCCTGGCTGTCCTGGACAAGAGACTTCTGGCCCACTTGGCAGCACGCCTGCCTCTGCTTGAAAGTCTCTCCCCCAGATATCTGCATGGTTCCCTCTGTTGCTTTATTCATGCCTCTGCTCAAATGTCATCTCCTGAGGGGGGACTTCCCGGACCTCCCCTCCATCACCATCACTATCTTTTTTCTTAACAGCATTTATTGCTACCTGACACCCAGTTGTACACTCAGTTTTTAATTAAATACAAATTAATTTAATTTGTATTTAATTAATTATCTGTCTCTCTCACAGAAAAAAAAAGTCACTTGAGAACTCTAGCACCCACAGACTTGTCCTCACTCAGGTTTGTGGTTTGAGTTTATATTATCTTCAGGGTCCTGGAACCCCTAAGAAATTAACCTAAGTGGTCCTATGCTGGTAATGCCCTGGGGCATGCAACAGGAACAAATAGAACACCTCATTGGAGGAACAGTCCCTGACCCAGGCTCCAGGCTGCTTGAGATTCCCACAGATAAAGCTCCACTAAAGATGAGCTCACAGTCCAAAATTGCAAAACAAGGAAACAAAACACCATGAGAGCTGTCAGATTCTAACAAGTGGCCCCATCAAGAACTTGAGAAAATAGAATTATTAGAAATAGGGGTACCTGGGTGGCAGCCAGTTAAGCGTCTGCCTTTGGCTAGGGTCAAGGTCCTGGGGTCCTGGTATCGAGCCCCACATCAGGCTTCCTGCTTCTCCCTCTCCCTCTGCCCCTCCCCCCCACTCATATGCACACACTCTCTCTCTCTCTCTCAAATAAATAAATAAATCTTCAAAAAGAAGAAGTAGAAGATCATGCCACGGGTGCTTAGCTGGGTCAGTCAATAGAGCATGCAACTCTTGATCTCATGGTTGCAAGTTAGAGCCCCACATTGGGGGTAGAGATTACTTACCAAAAAAAAGTCTAAAAAAAAAAAAAAAAGAGAGGACTATACCAGCTTACAATTCCACCAATGGAATATCTATCTGTTTCCTCTGGTTATTAGCAAGTTTTTTGTGAATCAGAATAGTTAAGTGTGTGGCTGTTGAAGTCACAGTATGTGGGTGCAAATCCCGGCTTTGACACAAGGCGAGTTATCTAGCCCTTCTGTGACTCATTTTTCTCATTTATAAACTAGGAAGAATCATATTACCTACTTCAGACAGTGACTGTTGAGATGAAGTGAATTAAAATCTGTAACACCTAGAACAATACCTAGGACCTAAGTATTCAATAAGTGTTCATCACTATTACTATTTTTATTATATTCCCACATTACTACTGAAATAAAACATCTTTTCCAGATGCTTATTTCCTTTTTTATTTCCTCCTCTATGAAATGTCAATTGTTCTATGGGATTGTTTGTATTATTGAGTGTTAGAAACTCTTTATATATTATACATATTCACACTTGAATGTTGGAATGTTACATATGGCTTTGCTTATGGTGTTTTCTTATACATAAGTTTGTATTATTTACCATTGTCAAGTTCATCATTCTTTTTTATGGATTTGATTTTTGTAGTCCTGCTCAAAAAACTGTTTTCTACTTCAGATTATAAAAAGTTTTCCTTAATTTTCTTCAAATATTTTTGTGATTTTGTTTTTTCATCCCTAATCTTCAATATATCTGGAGTTTATTGTTGTTCATGGCATGAGGTAGAGAAAGAATCAAACACTGTATTTACAAAATGAATAGCCAGGTGCCCAGCATCATTAACTGAATAAACTATTCTTTTTTTTTTTTTTAAAGATTTTATTTATTTATTTGACAGAGAGAGACACAGCGAGAGAGGGAACACAAGCAGGGGGAGTGGGAGAGGGAGAAGCAGGCTTCCCGTGGAGCTGGGAGCCCGATGCAGGGCTCAATCCCAGGGCCCTGGGATCATGACCTGAGCTGAAGGCAGACGCTTAACGTCTGAGCCACCCAGGCGCCCCCTGAATAAACTACTCTTTACTGACTAACTTGAAATGTCACCTTTATTGTATATTAAACTTCCATATAAATACAAGTTTCTTTCTAGATTTTCTTTTCCATTTTATTAATCTCTGTGTCTATGTCTATGTCAACACCACACTGTTTTAATATTTGTTTAGAATATTAAAATTATATGCCATGTGTTATAATTTAATGATTAGTTGTAATTAATGAAATATATCAAGTATATAATATGTGATATATTAGCTATATAATTATATGACACAATATGTTTTATATTTGAGTGGACAAAATCTGACCTTCTTTTTCAAAGTAATCTTGGCTATTCTTGTGCAATTTCTCCTCTAACTGAATTTTAGAATCATCCTGTCAAGTTCCATCCAAAAAACCCCCAAAACTGTTGGAATTTTGCTTGGAGTTATATTTAATGTTCTAGATTAATTTAGGAAAGAATTGAAATATTCAAAATATTTAATATCTTCATATAAGAAGACAGTAGCAGGTTACAATTCTACCAGGGGAAAATCTGTTTCCCTATACTGTCTCCATTTTGGCTCTCAGCAAGTTATCTGTAAATCAGAATAATTAAATGTGTGGATGTTGAAGTCAATGCTTGGGTCCAAATCCCAAGCACTAGGTTTTTCTCTATTTCTTCAAGTCTTTTTTTTATCTTCTTCAATAAAGTATTATGCTTTTATTCCATTAGAAGTCTTGTCCATTTCATATTAGGTCCAGGTGTTTTATCATTTTATTCCTGCATGAACAGAATGTTTTTTCTATCATATATTCTAAGTGGTCATTACTGATATGTCTGAGAGCTATTAATTTCTGTACATTGACCCTATGTTCAGTCACTTTATTTATTTATTCATTCATTCATTTACTTAGAGAGTGCAAGTGGGGGGTGGGGAGGGGCAGAGAGAGAGGGAGGGAGAATCTCAAGCAGGCTCCACACTCAGCGCAGAGCCCAACATGGGGCTCAGTACCCCAAGATCGTGACCTGAGCCGAAATCAAGAGTCAGATGCTAAACTGACTAAGCCAGCCAGGCACACCCGCCCCAGTCACTTTACTGAGTTATCTTACTAGTTCTAACATCTTGTCAGTTAATTTTCTTGGATTATTTAGGTAGGTGATCTTTCTGCAGATAATGGGAGTTTTGTCTCTTCTTTCCAATATTTATAGCTACCAGTGATTTTTCTAGTTGCATTGGCTAAGACCTCTAATATAACATTAGCATAATATAGAAAGCTCTGTAAAAATACAAATTACCCAGTCCCATCCTAGGCTGCTGAATCAGAATCTTTAAAGGAGGGATCTAGGAATCTGTATTTTATCAAACTTACAGCCAACTCTACTATTTGTAACCACTGATGTAAACACAATTTGAGTAGCTAGAGACCTAATTTTATACCTTGCCTAGCTTATTATCTCATTTTATTGCACTGGTACAGATGCAACCAAGAAGCATTTGTGTCTCAGTGGATTCGTTCATTCATTCAGTAAACATTTATGGAGCACTGTTAGATGCCAAGCACTATTTAGGTGCTAAAGATACAATTATTAAGGGTTTAAAGGAGAAATTTGGGGATAAGTCTCTATATCATCTCTTTTCCAGAAATCTTTTTTTAAAAAGATTTATTTATTTTAGAGAGAGAGAGCACGAGAATGGAGGAACAGGGGGAAGAGGGAGCAAATCCTCAAGCAGACTCCCCGCTGAGCACAGAGCCTGACACGGAGCTTGATGCAGGGCTCGATCCCAGAACCCCAAGTTCATGACCAGAGCCAAAATCAAGAGTCAGACGCTAAACTGATTGAGCCACCCAAGCACCCCAATTTTCCAGAAATCTTTTAAACTGTCCAGCAGGGCTGGGATAAGAGTAAGATAAGGAAGGCACACACCTCAGTCCCAGAATTTAAGGGGCACAAAAAAACTCAGTAACCAAGTAAGTAATATTGTGTTGCAATGATTGTAAAAGTCAAAAATAATGTAAAAAAAAAAAAAAAAAAAGTCTGTGGTGAACAAAATATCAACACTTCAAATATAAAACAGGATCCAAAAGGGACAGATTGTGGTGAGGTGAGTGAGGCCTAGCCACACAAGTGTAGGGGCTGATCCTGCATTTAAAATTTTTAAATTTTGTTCAACATAGAAGTGTTGCATTAATTTTGATTTTTGCAAATATTGTATTAAGATACTGCTCATTGTGCTTACTGAGCTGAGATTTTGCACACAAAAGGCATGCCTCACTTGTTCCCCTCTGGTCCTGGCCTTGCTGCTATTGTCTTATTTTTTATCATGTGACAGATTTTAGGCACTAAGCTAGGGGATGGCACCACCAGGGGGCGCAGAGGGGACCGCACGCAGGCTCCTGGACCTCCCTGCCCTATCATGGCAGAGAGAGCAGGGAATGTTAAAGCGAAAGGCAAATAGTTGCCCTCTTTTCTCCTGTTTTCTTCCATGTCCGTATATTTGTTTTAAGTACTTGCCACCTTTCCTATGGCTGATTGTTCCAAAGGGAAGAGCCTGGCAGGGCCAGGACGCAGGAGAGGAAGGGAGCCCTAGTCTGGACAACATTGCAAACACCTCCCCACCCTTCACTGCAGGAAATAACTTCAGGGATGAAGCCGCAGAATTGTTGTGCCAAGCCCTGTCGGTAAGAAGTGAGGGGCAGGGGCCACTGAGAGCCCTGTGGGGGATGGCCCTGGGTGATGTGGGGGGCCTGGCGGGTGGCTCCAGGCAGAGAGAGGCAAGGTCCCCCGAATGTCTAGGGAGCTGGTGAGGGTCTGGACTCTGCCGAGCCTGACAACAGCCACAGCAGTAGCAGGGCCCTTTGGATGGGACGAGACCCTCCCAGGATCATCAACAGTTACACAAAAATGCACAGGAGAATGTCTTCTGTCTAAAAACTCACATCCACCCGATTTTTGGTGCATGGGAGCCCTCCATCACATGGCCCTGAGATGAAAGAGGTATTCGCAGCCATAGAGAAGCCAAAACTCACCTCTCTCTACACTTTCTTTCTCCAGGCCAATTACCAAATCAAGACGCTGGATCTCAGCCACAACCAGTTCTCTGATAAGGGAGGAGAGCACGTGGGCCAGATGCTGGGTGAGTCCCCCCGCGGAGGGAAGGGGCCAGCAAAGGAGAGGCACTTGGCAGACGGTTGCCTGTCAGGGCTGTATCTCCTGATTTTTATTGTTACTGACTGTTCAGATCATAAAGGGATGGAAGCCATGCCCCAAACACATCTTAAGTGGAACCAACACCTGGATGTGGGAAGTAAAACTTTACAAAGATTAGAAAAACAGATGAAGAAATAACTTGCTGACCTCAGGGAGGCTAAGGATGAGTAAATATGCACAGCAGGCGTAAACTGTAACAAAAACCATTCATCTGTTTGACAACAGTAAGTTTAAAACTTGCCTATGATAAAAGATGTTATGGGACAATGTTAAAAGACAAGCAACAGATAGAGAGTACATATTTACAGCATCTTTATCATATACGAGATTTGTGTTCAGAATGTTGATAAAAGAGCCTATAGATCCATTGGACAATGATAAATACTCCCAATAAAACAATGGCCAAGGCATATGGATAGCGCAAAAAGAAAGCCAAATGCCTAAACTCTCTAGCAATTAGAGAAATGCAAAATAAAACAATGAAAAGCTCCCCCTTGTCATCTACCAAAGCTACAGAAATTTCAAGTGAGAGAATATCCAGTGCATTGAACCCAAGGGAGAAATAAGAATCCTCTGAAGCTGCCAGGTGAAGGCACTTTGGAGAGCAATGCGACAGTATTTAGTAAAATTGAAAATGTATATATTCTATGATAGAGCAATTCACCTGTGCATGTCTCAGAGAAGCTCTCACACGTACACAGAGAAAGTCTGAGGAGGCTCACTGTAGATTTGTTATAAGAGAAAAAAAAGAGGGGCGCCTGGGTGGCTCAGTCATTAAGCGTCTGCCTTCGGCTCAGGTCATGATCCCAGGGTCCTGGGATCGAGCCCCACATTGGGCTCCCTGCTCAGTGGGGAGTCTGCTTCTCCCTCTCCCACTCCCCCTGCTTGTGTTCCCTCTCTCGCTGTGTCTCTCTCTGTCAAATAAATAAATAAAATCATTAAAAAAAAGAGAGAGAGAAAAGAAAGAACCCTAAACATTCATTCCTGGGGAAATGAGTAGAAAAGGGGATCACTATTAGTGGGGGAGACGCTGCTTTAGGTGGGGTGGTGAGAAAAAGCCCCACAGGGAAGGTGGCTTCTTGTTGAAACCTGAATATCAAAGAAGAATCAGCCATGCCAGGTTCTGGAAGCACAGCATTCCAAGCTGAAGGAGCAGAGCCTGGCATGTCTGAGGAGGGGGACAGCTTGGCTGCAGCAGAGCAGGCAAGGGAGTGGGGAGGGGAGCAGGCAGGGGAGGGGAATGGAAGGAGGAGGTCACTGAGGTGGCCTGCAGCCACTCAGGTGGGGCTTGGTGGGCCATGACATGCATAAAGTCTGAATTTCATTCCCCACCCGATGAGAGGTCAGCGCAGGGTGTTAAATGTCGGGGAGTGACACGGTTTGATTTGCAGTTTTAGATACCGTTTTGTGAAGTTTTATGTAGTTTCATGAAGAACACAGCTGAGCACAACCAGACTCTTAAATACACAGAACAACCTGGTGGCTGCTGGGGCAGGGGCGGGGGGCATGGGTGAAATAGGTGGAGGGAATTGAGAGGTACAAACGTCCAGTTATAAAACAAGTAAATCATGGAGATGAGAAGTATAGCATAGAGAATACTGTCAATAATATTGTAATAGTGTTGTTTGGTGACAGATAGTGACTACAGTTGCCGTAGTGAGTGCTAAGTAATGTATGGAATGGTTGGATTGATATGTCATACACCTGAAACTAACATAACATTGTATATTAATTACACTTTAATTTAAAAAAAAAAGAATGGAAGAAGGAAGGACAGTTAGGAGGCTAATGCAGCAGTCCAGGCAAGACAGGACCATAGCTGGAGCTGAGGGAGGAGGTGGTGATAGAGAGGAGTGGATGGATCCAGAACGGACTTTGGAAATAAAGCCAAAAGGACTTGCTGATGTGGAGAATGAAGGAAAGGAAGAGAGGAAGATACACACCTGGTTATTTTGTTTCAGGAACTGGTTGGATGGTGGTGCCATTTACTTAGATGGGAAAAAACTCGGGGAGTAACAGGTACAGAGGGACAGGGGTCAGGAGCCAAGACTTCCATTTTGGTCATGTGATGTTTGCCTTGTCCGTTTGACATCTATGGGGAGACGTCTGGTTTGCTATATGGATTTAGAGCTTGGTGAACAGGTCAGGACTGGAGATAGGCATCTGGGAGTTAGAGGCATTGCGACGTATTTAAAACCATGGGGCAAGAGGAGACCATCTAGGCAAGGAGTGTGGATGGAGTTAAGAAGGTGGCCATTGGACCACTCTGACACCTTTAGGTGTCCCAGAGGGGGAGGAGGAGCCTGAGCAGGAGTAGGTGGGGGAAGGTGAGGTATCAAGGAGCCAAGTAAGGGATGCTTTCAAGAAGGAGTCAGGTCTTGGCTGGGTCAAGTGCTGCTTAGAGGTCAAATAAGATGAGATCAGAAAAGTGACCACAGGACTCAGCAACATGAAGCTAATTGGTGACCTTGACAAGAGCTGTGTTAGTGAAGGAGGTGAGTGTGGAGACCTGACTGGAGGGAGCAGAATTGAAAATGGGATGCAAAGAAGTGAATGGCAATGTGGGCACCTCCAGGAGCCCCTCGGAGAGGAGGCTGGGGCAGAAAGATGGGTGACATGGAGGCAGGAAGTTTCGTAAAGACGGAAAATGCTGATAGGAAGAACAGAAGAAGAAACGGGTCGTGAGGAAGGAAGAGGAGATAATTGTGGGACAAAGTTCTTGAAAAGGTGGACAAAACAGAGGAGCATGGGGAAGGGAGGGAAAAATAAAACAAGACGAAATCAGAGAGGGAGAGAAACCATAAGACACTCTTAATCATAGGAAGCAAACAGGGTTGCTGGAGGGGAGGTGGAGGGGGATGGGATAACAGGGTGATGGTCAGTAAGGAGGGCACTTGATGCAGTGAGCACGGGGTGTTATATACAACTGATGACTCACTGGCCTCTACCTCTGAAACTAATAATACACTATATGTTAACTAATTGAATTTAAATTAAAAAAAAAAACAAAGGCTGGCAGCCATGGAGTGCGGAGCGAAGGGGCAGGGGTGGCCTCTGGGAGCAGTGCTGAGAGAGGGAGGGGCTGGAGGTGTGTGCCAGAGGCGCAGGTAGGCTGGCGGGGGGTGGGGGGTGGGCCGGTGGGGGGGTGGGGGGCAGAGCTCTCCCATCTCACTGCTGAGCAACATCTTCCCTGAGAGAGAGGGTCCAGGCTGACAGGTCAGAGGGGAGGAGCAAAGTGTACAAGCCTTGTGGGGCAATTTGAGTCCATCTGAAAACTGATTTTCAAATACTTTAAAACTAAATTTTAGGGGCACCTGGCTGGCTCACTTGGTGGAGCCTGCGACTCTTGATCTTGGGGTTGTGGGTTCGAGCCCCATGTTGGGTATAGAGATTACTTAAAAATAAAATCTTTTTTAAAACCCTAAATTTTGGGTGCTAGGGTGGCTCAGTCAGTTAAGCGTCTGCCTTCAGCTCAGGTCATGATCCCAGGGTCCTGGGACTGAGTCCTGCATCGGGCTCCCTGCTCAGCGAGGAGTCTGCTTCTCCCTCTCCCTCTACCCCTCCCCCCTGCTTGTGCTCTCTCTCTCTCTCTCAAATAAATAAATAAAATCTTTTTAAATAAATAAATAACCCTAAATTTTAAAACAACTTTAAAGTGAGACAGACTACCTCCTGTTTTAATGTGGTTATCATCATATTGTATGTGAGCTTTAAAAATATTTATTATTATTAAAGCTGCCAGTTATTAAATGGTTGCCACGTGATAGGCATCATGCTAGACATTGCACATCAGTTCCCTCCCAAAACCTTGTATGGGTTAATATCTCCATTTTTTTGTTTGTTTGTTTGTTTTTTGTTTTTTGGGGTTTTTTTTTTGTTTTTTTAAAGATTTTATTCATTTATTCGACAGAGAGAGACAGCGAGAGAGGGGACACAAGCGGGGAGTGGGAGAAGGAGAAGCAGGCTTCCTGCTGAGCTGGGAGCCCGATGTGGGATTCGATCCCAGGACCCCGGGACCATGACCTGAGCTGAAGGCAGACGCTTAACAACTGAGCCACCCAGGCACCCTAATATCTCCATTTTTACAGATAAGAAAACAGAAGTAAGGAAAGAATAAGTAGCTTGCTCAAGGTCACACAGCTAGTCAGGGGCGAGAACAGAACTTACATTTAAATTTTGCAGCCCTTGAAGAGATGCAGGTGTGCGTGGCATATTAAGTAAGGGAATTGGCAGAGAAGAGGGAGTAGGGGTAAGAAGAGAATGAAGGCGGGGGAAAGTTTGTTCTCAAAACAATATAAGGTGTTGTGCACTTTAGTTAAAGTACATCCTGGTAGTTGACTCAAGAGACACACAATCAGTACACAGCGCACTGAAAAGAAAATCGAGTAAAACATTTTCCTGGGTCTGAGGGCTGAAGGCACTGCCTCCCACCCAGTAAAGTTTCAAGAGTTCTTCAGCCTCTTCCCAACAGTGTCCTCAGCATATCTGCCCTCCCTCCGTAAAAATAAACATGATAATGTCTTTCAACAGGATGTTTTCCCCAACCCTATGTAGCACGTAAGCAAAAATATTTTTTAATATTTATTTATTTATATATTTTAGAGTGAGAAAGAGCGGGGGGAAGGGCAGAGGGAGAGGGCGAGAGTCCTAAGCAGACTCTCTGCTGAGCGCAGAGCCCAAACCAGGGCTCGAACTCACACCCTGAGATCACGACCTGAGCTGAAACCAAGAGTCAGGCACTTAAGGGACTACGCCACCCAGGGGCCCCCAAAATATTTTTAAGTTAAAAAAAATACAACTTCTATGCAAACCAGCTTCTAGATAAGCCTGATGCCTCACCACTTAGAACTGATGATGTCCCTAAAGCTTTCAGAGCCACCTCTGCTCCCATAGTTCTCCAAGAAAAACACATCACATGATGTAATACCCCTTCACAGCCTCTCCATGTAAATACAACCCCTGTGTTCCCCGCTATCTCTATTAGTTTATTGGTTGCATCATATTCTGCCAGATGGATGTTTATTATATACTTTACCCTTCCCCTGTGAGTCACGAATGTTACTTTTATAAGTAAGGCCATGATAAACACCTCAAGCATGGAACTCTTCTCATGTCCTGCACTGTCTCCTTAGGAAGCGTCTAGAGGTGATGTTGCTTGTGTGATAGCAAAATATCTGTGGCCAGATCACATTTGCCAAATAGACTGTAGCAATTTGCTTGTCCCCTGCAATACAGGAGTAGGATTGTTTTACTACATTGTTGCCAGCACAGGGAATCCTCTTAAAATTTTGTGTTTAAATGAATAACTGAAAAATTATTGTCCCAGTGTCTTACTTCGCATGAACATTGAGTAGTCCTTATTCCCCAGTGCCATGGACATCTGTCAACTCTGAGAATGGGTTCTCTGGGATTTGGGAACACTAAGATGACTCCCTCCCTCCTCCAGCCCTCAATATAGGGCTCCAGTCACTGGATCTGAGCTGGAATCACTTCTGCATACGGGGAGCTGTGGCCTTGTGCAATGGTCTCTGGGTAAGGCAGTCTCTGGCAGTGGTGTGTGGAGTCCAGTGAGGACGTCCAGGGCCTCCCATCCTGCCATCTTGAACCTCTTCCTCATGACCCCATGGATGAGCGCACATGGAGCTCTCATCAAATGCTTTCCAGTTGTTAGCATCCCTCCCATAATTTCTGCATGTGCTTTATTCTTTAGTATAAATCCTACTTCAGCAAATTCACCTTGCTGGGGCCTCGGTGGCATCTTTGGGGATACTTCAAGAGGGCAATTTCCTTAGGGGGTCGGGAATGACCAGGTTCTGACTCCCTCCACTGGGAGGGATCTGGAAAGGTCTGGTGGAGCTCTCCCTCCGGGACACCACTGAGCACCCAGCTGGATGGCAGCAGGGGAGAGAAACCAGGGCCTGGTGGCTGGAAGAGTCACGCAGCCTTGATGCTAGTGCTGTTCTCTCCCCTCCCTGGAGGCTAATATGACCCTGCAGAAACTGGATCTCTCTATGAACGGCTTTGGGAACGAGGGGGCTACGGCCCTAGGGGAGGTCCTCAGACTCAACAACTCCCTGGTCTACCTAGACGTCAGCAGCAATGGCATCAGCAACGACGGAGTCTCCAGAATCAGCAAAGGGCTGGAGGTCAATGAGAGCCTCAAAGTTCTGAAGGTAAAGTCTTTACTTAAGCTGGGAATGGGCCGTTTTATGTGTGTGTCCGTGTGCATGTGTGCACTCATGTGTGTGTGCATGAATCCGTGTGCCTGCATCCGTGTATGTATCTCTGTGTGTGTCCATGTGTGTTCATCTGTGTGTGTGCATCCACGTGTGTGTCTATGCATCCTTGTGTTTGTGTCCATGTGCGTGCATCTGTGGGTGTGTCCCTGTGTCTGTGTGTGTCCGTGCATCCGTGTGTGTGTGTGTATTTGTGTGTGTTGGGGTGGGGGCAGCAGGGTGATGGGGCTGCATATTGCTGGAGAGAATTGTTGGGAAAATTCACCTTGTGTGTCACATGTGCATAGGTTCTTGACTATCTCTCTGCTCTAACCTTAGTGTCACCCTCTACGGTCACTGGGTGCCTGGTGTCATCTTCTAACCGGTCTTCCTTCCTCCCGCCTGGGTCTCCTCCAGACTCTGCTCCGCACTGAAGCCAGAGTGTGTGTTTTGAGCATAAGTCTGACTTTCACCCCCACCCCCATCTAGTCTCCTCCGGCTTAGACCCCCACATGGCTTCCTGTGGTTCAAACCCAGTTCTCTCATCCCGGTGTGCTTCTCCAGCCTCAGTTTACCTCACACTCTCCCTCGCTGTCCAGCCATGGTCTCGGGGGCTTCTTTCATCTCCCCCATCCCAGGCCCCGACTCTCCCTGTGGCTTCGGACTCAGCCTCCCCTGTAGTGCTCTCCCCCACTCCTCCCTACACCTACCTGAGTCCCTGCCCCAGCTCAGCACGGCACTCCAGCAGCTGTCCTCACGGACTCTCAGATCTCAGCTCACCCCTTCACGCAGAACTTGCCAGGTTCCTTCTTAGACTCTGACTTCAGTGACTCGCTGACTGTCTGGTCACCCCCACTGGTGTGAGCTGCATGAGAGTAAAGACTGTGTTTGCTTCTGCCCATTATTATACCCCTTGTACCTATTGGCATATAGTAGATGCCCAATGAATGTCCATTAATGAATGAATGAATGAATACATCTTTCATTTTAAATTGGTTGATAGGGGCACCTGGGTGGCTCAGTGGATTAAGCGTCTGCCTTTGGCTCAGGTCATGATCTCAGGGTCCTGGGATCGAGCCCCGCATCGGGCCCCCTGCCCTGCAGGGAGCCTGTTTCTCCCTCTCCCTGCCGCTTCCCCTGCTTGTGTGCTCTCTCTCTCTGTCAAATAAATACATAAAATCTTCAAAAATAAATAAATAGATTGGCTTATAGATGTCTCACATAGAAGCTCTTGGGCAGTTGGAAAACAGATGAAAGAGGAGACCTCCCATTACCAGTTTCCCTTCCTGGGGCTCCCACAGTGAGACAGGTGCATATCAGGTGGCTTGCTTCTTGCTCACGGCACAGCCCTCCAGCTCGGGCTTCACTCGCTCCACCTGTCAGATGAGAAAGCCGAGCCTACATGACCAGCTCAGGCCCTGCAGCTCCAGAGAGGCAAAGAAGTCAGCCCTCCCTGGCTTCCTACTGCAACTCCAAATTCCTCAAGATGTGGGGGTGATTCAGGGGGAGGCCACAGATGTGGGGGTGCTGGTGGAGAAGGATGGGAGTTAGAAATCAGTGACAACGAGCTGCCGTCTGAGAGGACAAGCACCTTAGAGCTGCAGAGAAGAAGCCAGCTTCCCAGCAGTGGAGGGAGCAGGGCGACCTGCTGGCTAGTGACCGCAAGAGCTGGGAGCGAGGTCTGGCCAGAGTGGGACGAAGAATAACTCAGAGAGACTGACTGATGCAGCCTGCCTGTGACTCAGCCTCCGTGGAACCATGAAGCCAAGGAAAGTTCCGAGCACCTGAATCGTAAAAGATTGAAACACTGCCTTAACAACATGGCAGTGGGGGTTTTCTCTAACTGATGGGGGTACTGGTGATTTTCACACTTTTTCTACCTCTTTTTGAATTTCTTGTATAATGACCATGTGCCATTGCTTAAATGTTTAATTAAACCCATTGTCATGTGTTTAAATATATTTTAAATTTTTTTAATGTTTTAAAATGAAAGAAAAAAGTTTTAAACGCAACTTAAAACATACCTCTCAGTTTGGTTGTAGGTGGAAGCTGCATCGGTTTTGCCAGTGGAATGATCTCTTGTTTTCCACGTGGAGCACAGCCCTCCTTCCCCTACTCTTGGAAAAAATAAGGATCCCCCCAGGGAAGTGTGTCCATCAAAGGCTTCTTAGAAGCTAAGCCCTATGAAGTCTGTGTTTTCTCTCTTGAGTCTGTCAGAGCCCAGGAAACACCTGACACACAGTAGGTGCTCAATGAAAGTTCTGGCTGCCTCATCAAGACACCACCTGGCGGAAAGCCTTCGCTAATAATAACTAGCATTCATTTGCTGCTTACTATGTACCAAGCACTCCTTTGAATGTTTTGCTTGAATTAATTTATTGGATCCTCAGAGTGGCCCTAAGCGATAGGTCCCCAGTGGTCAGGGAATTGACCCAAGGCCAGAAAACTAGTAAGCAGAGCCACTGGGCTCCATGTTCTTTGCTGTTAACCTCTACCCCAAGCTTCAGTGGCTCTCAGCTACATTAGGATACTACCCTGGGTACGCAGCTAGGCCTGCATGGTCCCTGTGATCTGGCCCATCCTAGCTCTATGGCCTTGTTCTTTCTGCTCCTGTTCACGAAATGTTTGCTATTGCCCAAACACCTCTGCACCTTTGCACTTGCCTGCCCTTGTCTACTTTGGTGCATCTCACTCTCTCCTCTGGTCCTGCCCCCTGCTTCTTCCAGACCAGAAGAATCCCCATTAGTTCTGCAAGGCTTAGCTCAAGTGTCCCCTCCACCGTGCTGGATGTCCTTTTCCTGGCTCCTGCAGTACCAGCATGTGCCTCTGTCACTGCCCTCACCGAACTTCTGATGCCGTTTACTCCTTTGCCTGTGGCCCCCTCTAGAGTGTAAGCTACGTGAGGGCAGAGACCTTGTCCTGTCTGCCTGCGCAACCCTTAGCACGTTTCCCAATAACCGGCACATGGTAGGTTTGCTGAACGGATGGATGGATGGATGGATGAGCAGTGATGGACAAGCAGATGGATGACTGGACAAACAGGGAGACAGGTGCTTACAGAGAAATCTGGGTGGAAGATAGAGATGATGATTTGATGGGAAGAAATGGAAGCCATGCTCTGAGCCAGGCTCTCCTGTCCCCATCTCATCCTCCTCCGGTCTTGCCCCTCCTCCCACAGCTTTTCCTGAACCCTATGAGTATGGATGGGGCTGTTTTACTTATCCTGTCCATCAAGAGGAACCCCAAATCCAAGATGGAAGAGATCGACATTTCCGTGAGTGATCAGACGGTGGTTGCTCGCACCAGGGCCCACACCAGTTACCACGGCCACGCACGCCATGTGGGCAGTTACCACAGCCACGCTGGGTGGGCAGGCACCAACAGCTCTGTCCCTTACACCAATGCTCCACCATAGGGTCACTCCTTTTGGAGTACAACTTGGCCCTCTCTTGGGGTCCGTTTCGCAGGAGTAGCCCTTCCGTCGATAACTTTATGGTGTGAAATCCCAGACCAGAGCCCAAGTGGGTCTGGGAGCAGAAACAGCAGAGACAGAGGTGGGACCCCCCGAGCAGCATTTGTTCACTGCCAGCCCTGCTCATGGACAGCCCTGGGTCCCAGAACGGTTCCAGAATCACAGAACTTTTAGAATCTGCATATTAACACATGTACAAATTTTGTATTCCATGACATGGCCTCCTGAGAGTAGAATGTAAGGGTAAACGCCCTAATGGAGGAGGAAGGCCCAAGGAGGGGACTTCACTGGACCAGGTGTTCTTGCCTGGATCATCAGACAGGTGGTAGCTGGCCCACCACTTTATACTGGTTTTTCCCCCAAAGTGATCTCTGCTCCACTCATCTGGCCCCACTCTGGGAGGTAGGTAGAATGGACTCATGCCCCAGAGCTATCGTGAACAAAGTACCACACTCCGGGGTGGGGGTGGGGGGCTCAAACAATAGAAGTATATTATCTCACAGTTCTGTGAACTAAAGCCCAAGATCAAGGTGTTGGCAGGATTGTTTCCTTTGGAGGACTGCAAGGAAGAATGGGTTCGATGCTTCTCCCAGCTTCTGGTCATTTGTTGGCAATCTTGGATGTTCCTTGGCTTGTAGGAGCATCACCCTGAGTTCTGCCTTCAGCTTCAGATGGCGTTCTCCTTGTGTGCATATCTGTCTTCTGTATCCAAATGCCCCTTTTTAGAAGGACACCAGTCATAGCGGATTAGGGCCCACCCCACTGACCTCATCTTAACTCAATCATCTAAAAAGACCGTATTTCGGGGCACCCGGGTGGCTCAGTCATTAAGCGGCTGCCTTCGGCTCAGGTCGTGGTCCCAGGGTCCTGGGATCGAGCCCTGCATCAGGCTCCAGTCTCCCTGCTCGGCGGAGAGCCTGCTTCTCCCTCTCCCTCTCTCTGCTGCTCTGCCTACTTGTGCTCTCTGTCTCTGTGTTAAACAAATAAATAAAAATCTTTAAAAATTAAAAATAAATAAATAAATAAATAAAAAGACCGTATTTCCAAATAAGGTCACCTTCACAGGTACGGGGGATTAGGACTTCAATATCTTTTTGGTGGGAACACAGTTCAACCCATAACAAGAACTTTTCCTCATTTTCCCCTTTTATATATAAGGAAACTGAACCAGAGAGGTTAGATAACTTGCCCAGGACCACATAGGCAAGCGAGAAACACGACAAAGGGTAAACCCAGGGTTTCTGCCTCTTACTCTAGAGTTCTATAAAGGGACAGTGTTAAAGTCATGTTACATTATTTTAATGCCACACAAATATGATATTTTGCTAAGCTCTTAAAGCCTTGCAATAATATCAGTGATGGTATTTTGTTGTTTTTTTTTTAAAGATTATTTATTTATTTATTTGAGAGAGAGAATGAGATAGAGAGAGAGAGCACGAGCAGGGGGAGGGTCAGAGGGAGAAGCAGACTCCCCACTGAGCAGGGAGCCCGATGTGGGACTTGATCCCGGGACTCCAAGATCATGACCTGAGCCGAAGTCAGTTGCTTAACCAACTGAGCCACCCAGGCGCCCTCAGTGATGGTATTTTGAATATTTAAGCTCAAACTCCTTGGAACTAAATAATAAGTAAAATTTGGACTTAGGTTTGCCACAGATTATAAAACATTAGAAAAACATACTTGCTTTTCTTTTCATTTTGTTCTCTTCCCCTTGCTCCTTCCTTCCCCTTGCTCCCTGCCAGGCTCCCTGTTCTCTTCCCCTTGCTCCTTCCCCAGGCTCCTCTTTTTGCTCATGGTCTTTCTCCTCAGGGGCCTTCTGTCCGCCCTCATCCTACAGCTCTGGCCTTGCACCCCTCATGCTGCCTTAACCCACACCCCACCCCGCCTCTGGAGCTCAGTTACACGTTCAGATTTTGTTGGCATTTGCTCTCCCCCCACCCAGGGCAGGTTGGAAGGCATGCCCTCAGGCACTGTCTTGGTGTCTGAGGGAACATTAGAAGTGGTGCTGTTCGGCTAACCCCGGGTGGTGCACGACCCCATGAGCTGGGATCACACTGCCACCTTACAAGCCTACCAGCACAGACAGGTCTGAATTAGACTTTTCCTTCCCTTTCGTCATCTCTCCTGGTTTAACTCTAAACAGTGTTGGAATCCCTTCATTGTAGATGAACTTTCTCTAGAACTTTCTCTAGAATATCTACAAATCGGGATGAGGTAAGCCTGCAGCCCTTAAGCATGGGTTTAATTATTTGAAGTGGCAAATAATTCTTCACAACCACATCTGAGGAATGAAGCAGGCTGACCAAACCAGGGAAGGCCAGCTTTGGTCAAACACTGCTTCAGAGAACATGTCTTCTCCTGTGGCCTATAACCCAGCTCTGAGGGCACCTCCAAAAGGCGCATTTCCAGTGGGTTTTGAACCAGGAAAGGGTGGTTGGGATGAGGAATCCTCTGCCAGGGCACCTGCTCCAAAGACCAATATGGTGTAGAAATGGACATTTCAGGGCATTTGCCTGGAGACCAGTCTCCTAACCCCATAGCTGTGTCTCATCTGTCACACACAGAAACTGATGCTCACCATCTGAGAGCTGAACTGATAGTATGTGACAGGCTACCAGCCCTCAGCTAGAACATCTGATCGAAATCACGTGCAAACCTTACAAGTCAAATTGCAAGCTCTAAGAAAGGTCAACTACCCCAGTCTAGGAGCAGCACTGCAGAACAAGCTGGAAAAGACAAAAAAAAGCTCTGCCTTTGGCTTGGATGGGCCTGCTGGTCTGCAGGGGGAGGTGCGGGAGGGAGTAGGGGGGTGGAGATGGTACAATGGCGGCGATGCCTTCCTCATGATGGGTCCCTTCTCTTCCCACCTCAGAATGTGCTGGTGTCTGAGCAGTTCCTAAAAATATTGGATGGGGTGTGTGCCATCCACCCCCAGCTGGATGTGATATACAAGTCAGTGCAAGGCTTCTCTGCCAAGAAAGCACTCCTCCAGTGGACGAACCCCATGAAATTGATCCAGGTGAGCCCTTGCCTTCCTCTTGGAGACCCCAAAGACCAAGAGTCCCCTCTCCCCAAAAGCGTCTGCACAATCCTCTCTGACAAGGAATGTCTCTCAGACATGGAATATTCCTTGTGGATGTTGGATCCCCTCAGCAGTGCTTCCCAGATCCCAGAGGAAGGGGCGATCTGGGAAAGGGCTGAAGTGGGCGGGGCTTGGAACAGGATGGTTTCTACCAGCCAGGCTCCTCTGCTTGCTAATGTACGACCAAAGGCAAGTCACTGTGCTCTCTGGGCCCCAGTCTCTTCACTTGGAAAATGGGTAGAACAACAGGACTCACCCCGGGAGGGCTGCTGTGGAGATCCAATTCTGTTACACACAAATGCCTGGCCAATAATAAGCACCCAACAAATGCAAGCTCTTGCCAGTAGCTGGTAAGGATGCCAAGACACCCCTGTGGTGAGGACAGCTATTTGGTGGCTTCAGCTAAAGAGGGACCCTCAGGTCCTTTCTGTCTTGTGGTCACCTGCTCCCAGCTGAAGTCTCAGATCACAGGAGGTAGATGTAACCATGGAAATGAAAAATCAGACAGTTTTAGAGCTGCAAGGGTGCTCATCTGGTCTGATCACCTCACAGAGTAGTGCCCAGGACAGGCTGGTGTTCCTATTCCTGGCTCTCCCCGGTGGCAGGGTTGACCAGCCTCTGCTGGATGCACACTGGGTGCCATCTGTGGTGATACCATGCAGATGTGGGTTCTACAGGGTGTGTGCTGCTGGGGCTGCTTCCCGCTCCTTGGTTGGTCTGCTCTGTGCCTTAGCTTCCAGGACTAGATAGAAGAGCTCTGCATGAGTATTATTGTTGTGTGGAAAGTTCTAGAAGGCAAGGGGGTTATCAAGTATCTTCACGGGTCAGATGACATCAGATGGAACCAAGAAGAAACCTGTTTCGCAAGGGGAGCGGGATGCTCCAGGGAACAGGAATGGAGTTCTCAGATGCAAAGTGGGGGTCCCACCCTGTGTTTAAAACAGCATAGAAATCTCTAAGAATCTCATAAGAATCTCAGATTAGAGACCAAACCAGATGTGCAATGCAAAACACAGTCCTTCCCCTCAGGGGGGCCAACAATCTGGTTGGGAAGATGGGACAGATGCAGTAACTTCTCAAAGATATATGATAAATAATAACTGAGTGACAAACGCAGCAAATATCATCAAAGTCCAGAGTAGAGGCCACTGTGGGATTAGGCAAAGAAAAAAGGATACGTCCTGGGGAAGGGCCTTGAAGAGCAGAAAGGATTCAGGTGAGCGACAGCAACAGGGAGGGAGCTCTGGGGATAGGATTCCCACCAGCAAAGGAGCAGGGGGGGTGGTACACACAGTGTGCTTGGGGGATGGGCAGGACCACGTGGTTCCAGCAGAAGAACCACACGGTTCCAGGTTCCTGCAAAGCCTGGAAGTCAAGGCTGCACAGGGAGGCTAGGGCTGGATATGGCTCAGTGTTGGGGTTGGATTCCACAGGGAGCGGGGAGCCAGCGATAGTGGCTGAGAAGTGGGTAATGTGAATCCAGCAGGACTGAGGAATAATTTTTCAGGCAATGGAGAGGAAATGAACTGAAGGGGGTAAAGATGAGAGTGGAAACGCCAACGAGGACACTATGGTAGTATTCTAGGTATGATAACTAGTATTCTAGAATGGTGCCTTGCCTGAGAGTGGGAATGGAAGTGGAGAGACAGATGTAGGAGATACCATTATGGGGCACCTCCAAGATTTGGTGAATGGTTGGGTACATGGTACATGTGTGGGAGGGTGCGAGTGTGTGTGTGTGTGTGTGTGTGTGTGTGTGTGCTGGGAGAAGGAAGGCCTGTGATGATAGGAGAGAACCAAAGATAATCCCAAAAGTTCAAGCCCAAGGGACTAAAATAAAGGTGATGACATTGGCAGGGGTAGGGAAGTCCTCTCTAGCCCCACCCTCTCTGTCCACCCCTCCCAGCTGGTTCTCCAACATTTGAGCCCCCCTGGATTTCTCCCTGTTTCTCTACACCAGTTCTCGCTCAACCCCAGGCCTGTGCACACGCACATTCCTCTGCCTGGAACACCCTTCCTCCTGCCTTCTGTGTCTCACTCATTCCTACACTTCCTCTAGGTCTCTACTCAAGTTCATGTCCTTGGGCAACCCTTCCAGACTCCCTAGTCAGGAGTAGCTAGGCCGTCTCTGAACTCCTCCAGGGCAGGAGCAATGATGGGTCTTATCACTAGCACCTACCGAGGCAACAAGCCCTTCTTGCGCTGGTCAAAGTTCTTGTTGCTGAGCACACAATCCACTCCGGCTGGGTTAAACAAAGAGGGATATATGACCAGAGACAGACCCCAGAAACATTGAAGGGGGCTGAAGAAACAGATTCTTGGTTTAGGTTCCAGAAATGGCTCCCCAAATCCCCCATGTGGGCTGCCAAGGTGATGGCTGCTTCTGTTATGATCGGGAGGCTGCCCAGTGGGGATCACCCGCTGAATCAGGACCGGCCCCCAGCTGCATCCGGCCTGCTCCCTCCAAATCAGACCTCCCACACAAGCCGCCCCTGGGTGCTTGGTGAAACCATCCCACTCCGACGCCTAGCTGAAAGGGGGTTTGGGGAATGTCGACATTTGGCTCTGCAGCATCTGCACTGTACAGGGGCGTGCTGTGGAGGGAGGGGAGGCATGTCGGCTCACCCGTGGGGTCCGCCACAGTGCTTACAACCGCCGACAGGGTCGAGCTGCCCGAGCGTCACCTGGGACGTGATGGATTGAGGTGCCAGTGGGTGTCAGCACGGACTTGTGAGCAGCTGTTGAGGATGCAGAAGTAGGGTCCCCCTGGGGGGAGAGGCAGTGCACCCCAGAGGGCAAAGTGTGGGGAAAGAAGAGCAGGGGATGGAGGACTGGTCCCTGAGGAGTTCCTCAGTGAGCACGGTTATCTGCAGGAATATCTATCAATCTGGCTGGGCCTTGAGGGCCTTTTGAGAGTGGGAGGGGAAGAGAAACATAAAGATACTTAGAAAGGACCCCAAAAGAATGTTTTAATGATACTGAAAAGGTGTTCACAATGTATTAGTACAGTGCATTTTATAAAAGAGTATGTACGATAGAAAGATGATGGATGGATGGAAAGATAGGTAATAGATGATAGATGAAAGATAGATGAGATAGATAGATAGATAGATAGATAGATAGATAGATAGATAGATAGATGATAGATAGAAAGAACAAACAACAGAGACTCTAATCCTTCCTTCTTTGGAGGCGCATGGCGATCCTGCTCCGTGGAGTGGGGGCTCCGGACACTGAGCAAACCCAGAGCCATCACGGCATGCAGCTCCGTGCAGGGCTCTTGGGCTTAGGCGACTGCTAACCCACAGGAGACTCGCGCCCCCCAGGCTGCCTCTTACAGCTCCCCTGCACTTGCCAGGCCGCCCTTGGGTGGAAGGTGGCCGTGGGGGGTGAGGGGTGGAGGGTGGTGAATAGAGGTTATAAAGTCAAGTGCGTGCTCCTGGTGTCGCCTGCTTCTCTCAGAGCTACGCCGACCAGCACAGAATCACAGTCGTGGACTTCTTCAGGAGCTTGAACCCTAAAGGACTGATGACGATGCCTGTGGGCGACTTCCGGAAAGCTATGATACAGGTGTGCTGGCCCTGTGGCTACAGCCAGGGTGTGTGTGTGTGTGTGTGTCTGTCTGTCCGTGTGTCTGTGTGTGTCCGTGTGTCTGTCTGGGGGCGGGGGCTGCAGAGCGGTGGTCAGAGAGCTCGGCTGACCTTGCCCGGCCCCCCCCCCGACCCCCCCCCCCCCCCCCCCGACCCCTTCAGCAGGACAAGGTCCCCGTAGACCTGTACCAAGTCAGGGAGCTGGTAAAGAAACTGGATGACAAGAGAGGCGGGGTGAACTTCAGGTCAGTCCGCCCCCCACCCCCCCCACCCCCCCACCCCCCCCATCTCCCACCTCCCCCGAAGCAGCGCTCCCTGGGGGCTCCCGCGAGCTGCCCTCCGCCTCAGCTTCCCCTCAGCCATGGGCTGCTGGCTGCGGGGCCAGACTCTGGGGACACAGTGGGGTGACCCAGGGGAGCACGTGGCTAGGCCCCGGTGCGGTGAGAGGGGTCTGCAGGTCCCCCGGGAGCCCAGAGGGGAGGACGGCAGGGCCAGGAGCTGCCCTGGGAAGCCGCGGGCCACTTAGCTCCGCGGGGGGGGGGGGGCGGGGGGGGCGGGGGGGACGTGGGCTCCGCCCCTTAAAGAGACAGGCAAGCGCCGGGGTAGCCGTCCCTAGGGAGCCCTTGCCACGGCCTCTCACAGGGCCCAATAGCCACTGTCCTCGCCCGCACACGGCGACGGACACTGAGCTTTGGAGGAGGGCAGCACAGAAGCTCAGTGCGCCCACAGAACAGGGCACCTGGTCTGTGTGGTTCCTGAAGCTGCTCCACCGAGCTGCACCTCCTCGCCGAGGCCTACGGCTTGGACCCCCGTCTGGCCCTGCGGCTTTGTGTCTTGCAGTGTCCTTAGGGAGCTCTGTCCGAGGGATCCCCTCTGGCCCTGCCCCACGAGCCTTCCCCGGCTACCTCTGTCCTGTGCCCCGATCAGCGTGCTTGCGTGTGATAGAGGGGTTTAAACGTGGGCTCCGAGGCTAGACCACCCGAGTCCCAAGCCCAGCTCCACTCCCGGGCAAGTTACCCAATCTCCCTGGGCTTCAGTTTCCCCATCTGTACTATGAAGCTAATAATAGTACCCATGGCAGCCGAGTTTTTGAGGACTAAGTGGGTGAACGCCTGTAAAACATTTAGAACATTACCTGGCATGTGGTAGGCTCAAAGGACACATATGTTTTCTTATATATTATTTTACCCTCACAAACACACAGGTTCTTATTTATCATAAATAGAAGCATGTTATCACATTCCTCTGAACTTGCTTTGCCTTCCAGGATGTCTTGGCAATCTTTCCACGTCTGTACATTTAGATCCATCTCCATCTTTTTTAAATGCCATGTGCTATAGCACAGAAGTCGCATTATTGAGTCTCATTTTTATGGACGTTTAAGTTATTTCCATTGTTTTGCTACTACAAATAAGACTGTAACCAGCATCCTTTTGTATACGGTGTTTGCATGCATTAACTCTCTTAACAAGGGCTCCGTGGAGCAAATCCCGTGCAATCGCTGGGCCAAAAGGTATGCATATTCTAAATTTCAGTCTACTGCCAAACGCTTGCCAACAATGTAAACCAGCTCACTGCCCCGTCCCCCAGCCCGGCACGGAAACTTACCCGTGTTCAACCCTCTGCCACCAGGAGGGGTGGGTTGACAAATGGTCTCGCATGGATTTGAGCCTGCCTAACATTCCTGCCAGTCAGCCACGAAGCTTCACCAACACCCAGTGTTATCTCCTTACCTTTCAAACCAGTTTCTTGAAAACGGCAAAGCCATAGCAACAAGTCTGGTCTGGAAAGAAGTCCTGGCGACAGAGAAGTCCTGGCAAGTCAGATGGTGGCAGGGAGGAGGCAGCGATCTGTCTGAAATCTCCGTAGACAAACATCAAGGCCAGACTGTGAGCGAGCCAATAAAGTCTGGCTGGGTCTCGACGCCTCTGGGCTGCTGGTGGTGTGCCCTTCCCCGGGGCAGCACCTCCTGGTTTTAGTGGCCAGCAGGGGGCACATCCTCGGCAGCCTTGGTGGGAGCTGGGGGAAGACAAATTGGGAATGCAACGGGGTTGCTAGGCTGCAAGAGAAAAGCGGGGAGTGGAAGGGGGGAGATCAGTACACAAAAGCAATCATCATAGTAAATGTAAACTGTGTCCAGGAGAGAGATTTCTGAGATGCTGGAGGCAGTGGCTGAGGGAACAGATGCTCAGGAAACGAGAACAGGGACCTCTAGAAGCAAATGCTGAGGGGCCCATGGAGAGAGCCCAGGATGGGAGACAGAGACCTGGCAGGTGGTCGCAGCCCAGCACTACCAGGCCACCTGATCTTGAAGCCTTGTGCTTCCAGCTGAAAAGTAGGACAGCTGAACTAAAAGCTTCCCAATCTGTTCTGGGGAATCTACTATTCTGCATTTCTTTTTAAAATTCTTTGGAAGCTAGGGAGATAAGAGTTGCTTAGCATAAGAGCAGGGAGGGTCAAGAACAGCATGCGCTGCACAGGTGAGGGGGGTGGGCGCCTTGAAGGGTTCTGATCAACCTTGACAGTTGTCTTTGTGGGTCAACAAGGGAAGGGACTGAAGCGTGCATCTCTGTAGCACGGCAGAGTGCCTGGCACAAAGTAGATGCTCAATAAATACCTTTGGAATGAACAAATACATTCACCAGGCAATTGTTTGGGGCAAGTGGTGGAGAACTGGGAAAATTTGGGGGTAACCAAGAACCAACACTTTTGAGCACTGTGGAGTGCTGGACCGGCATCTAGGCATCCTGTTACCACCCTGGGTTTCACTTTGCTTCACCAGGGGGTGGATCTGACACCCAGGCCCCTCTGCACATGGGGCAGAATCATTATTCGAAATAATTTATGCCCCCTCCCCACAGTGCATTTCCCCCTTTCCTTTCCTTAATTGAGGTCTTAGCCTGAAGTTGAATTTCCATTGATTGGGTGGTATAGGAGCTCAGAGTCAAAATTAGGATAATAAAAGAAAATAAAGAAATGCAATAAGGGATTTGAGAGCTGAAGCTCACATCTACCATACTCACCAGAATATGTAGCTGTCTTTTGCTCTGACTCCACAAACAAATCGAATCCCCTTGAAGTCAGGCTATGTCTTTTAAGTTTATTATAATCTATAAATTTCCCCATCAAGTCTCCTGCCCATACGGAGCATCCAATAACTGCTGGTGTCTGGGTGGAACCCGGAGGATTATGAAGCCACAAAGTATCAGAATTTGAGGACTGTAGGCCATGGATCCATAAAGACAGCAAAGTTTGGGCGCCTGGGTGGCTCAGTTGGTTAAGCAACTGCCTTCGGCTCAGGTCATGATCCTGGAGTCCCGGGATCGAGTCCCGCATCGGGCTCCCTGCTCGGCGGGGAGTCTGCTTCTCCCTCTGACCCTCCCCCCTCTCATGCTCTCTCTCATTCTCTCTCTCTCAAATAAATAAATAAATCTTTAAAAAAAAAAAAGACAGCAAAGTTTTCTCAAGAGGCTTTTAAACCATCTCTTGCATAAAAATGAAAAGGCAGCAGTCTTCTGATCAAATGTAATTTTTGGGGGGGTAGGTTTGGGGAAATTATGGAGATACAGGGAAGCTAAACTCCACCCCTACCACCACCCCCGGCCATCCAGGCCATCCCTGGCACCGCCACCCCCAAGCGGGTGAAGGATTGCCAAGCCGAAAAAACCCTGCCTTGTAGCAGCCTGGGAGCCTTCCCAAAGTGGGAGTAATTCCTACAAGTGGCCACTAGGTGTCAGGGCAGCTCCAAAAGTCCGGGGGAGCACGTCTCCTCCAGACTTTACAGACTGGTTTGCAGCTTTTGCCTTGCACTTTCTGTGAGCTCCCAAACTTCTGCCCTCTCAAGAGCCCGACGTGAAATCTGAGCCCTGAAGCGTCCAGCAGCCTGACACTTGGGCAAACCTCTCCAAGGCTCAGTGTCCTCAAGGTGAACTGAGGTTTCTAACAGCTACATTTGCACCCTTTGGGGAAGAAAATCAGGGGCTGGTAAAAACCATAAACATTCAGTCCTTCCCCCAGTCAGCCCACCATGGAGCTGGGCAAGACCGCAGGAGGAGACAGCGCTTCATTTGGGGGGGGGGGGGGCGGACTGCACAAGGAACTCATCCTCTGACAATGGGCTTGGCAAGTTGGGAGGCTGGCGGGCAGGAGGACCCAGGCGGGAGCGGCAAGCCCAAGGCGGGGCTAGACGAAGCTTGCGGGGCTGGTGGGTGGAAATGGCCCAAAGACACTGACCTGGCACTGGAGGGGGTCAGGCTGCAGCCCCAGGAAACAGCACCCTGGGAGTGCCCCTCCTTCCATGCCCTAACTCGGTTATCTTTCTTTGTGCGCTTTTTGCTTCTCCCAGAAACCCTGTACAGGAGGTCTGTTCTTAACCCCATTTTACAGGTGGGGAAATGAAGGCATGGAGAAGTTAAGCATCTCACTCAAGGTGTCTTGCTAGTAAGTGGCGAGGCTGAGATTCAGACCCTAACAATACAGCTCTGGCTCCCTGGGGTCTTAACCACTATACTTCCCGCCCCTCGGTGGCTTCCAAGTGGCAGCTTCAGATCAAGACAGGGAAGTTGATGGGCACTTACTCTGTTTATACTCTTTCTGCAACAAAGTGAGGAATAACTAAATTCATAAGCAGGCATGAGCTCCAGGCCAGGCTGGACTAGCCAATGGGAGGGAGGCAAAGGCAGATGGTAATGTTGTATTGCAGCTGATTTCTCAAGGTCAGGTTGATAGGCTCTCCCTGTCCCCTGCATTGCTCAGGAATTGCACCAGGGGAGGTAGGATGGGAGAACAGAAGGAAACGTCTGGAAAGTTCTATGTGCCAGCATCACAGATTCTGGCATGTGACATTTCTGGGTTTGAAATTCTGCCTGGCTTTACCACTTGCCAGCTCTGTAACTTTGAGCAAGTCATTCAACCTCTCTGACTCTCAATTTCCTCATCTGTAAACAGAAACAATAATGGTATCCTCCGCCCCACAGGATTGCTGTGAAGATTTAATGAACTCATGCATGTGAAACACTGAGCCCAAGGCCTAGCCCACAGTAAGTGCTTCTTATAAGGATGACCTCATTACAGTGGGCGTTCCTTTCCGAGGGGGGGGGGGGCGGGATGAGAGGAGCCCTAGGTCCCACAGGCATAAGAGCGGCCCAAACCAAGCAGCCTCCTTTGAAATATCCAAGTACCGGGCCTCCGAAACACCATGAAAGCATTCTAATCTCAGGCTTTGGTTTAAGACTTACATAAAAGTCAAAAGAATTTGTCCAACACTCTGGTGGTGCTGCCCCAGCCCCAGGCGTGATGGAAATGGAAACTGTACATGAATGCATTATCACGTTTGAACTATAGAGACATAATGTGTGCGCTCATATATGTCCATGACCAATGAGACGGTTCTGTGCCCAACAAGAGGGCCTTACCTGCGTATTAACCCCCAGATCCGCCTGCTTTATTGCTTGCATCCTTAGGACTAAACTCACAGCCAGTCCCGGCTTGTACCTCTCCTGGCTGTACCTCCGAGTTCCCAGCAGATGGCGCTCCAACCTCACAAGTTCTCCCCCTCCGGAAAGCTTCAGCTCTCTAACGCGGGGTTTGGGGGGATAAAAAGAAAACAGGACCCCAGACTGGCTCCAGGAAGTCAAATTCAGATGCCCGAAAAGGGTAGCAGTGCACCTGGCTTCAGCGACACTGGTCACAGGAGAGGGGCGTGGGCCAGAACTCTCACCCTGCCTGGAGAGCAAGCTTCTCCACCCAGGGGCAGGTCCAGGTTCTGTGCAGACTGAGCTGCACGAGCTGGGGGACCTCTTTATAAAAATATACACTTACAAATACAAGATGAGGTATAGTAAGTGGAT